ACCACGTTGGCTATCTTCCAATCATCTGGCACCTGGCCCAACCAGCGGGGCTTCCTTACTTCCTGGGGCCCACGACTCGCCACCCCCAGCGCAATGTCTGCGAGCATGGGGGGATGCGGGGAGGCGGGAGCAGCGACGGCTTCCTGCTGCCACAGCGACGGCGGCAGCAGCAGCATCTCCCGCGGCCTCAGCATCCCTCCGAGTCAGCATCCGCACCCCCCGCACCCACCCACCCACTGCACTGCGACCTGCTCCAGCCTGTGCGGCTGGTGGGGACCAGCGTGGGGCAGGGCCAGCATGCAAATGAGGAAGGGAGGGGTGGGGCTAGGAAGAGAAACCCTGCAATGAGGGAGAAGGGAGGAGCTGGCATGCATATGGGGGGGGCTAGGAAGGGACACCATGAAATGAGGGGGAAGGGGAGGAGCCACACTGCGTAGGCAACATCAGGCTGACGTGGTGCATGTGGGAACCTCGTCCCTTCCCCAACCCTTCATCAGCCATTAGGAAGCTGCTGAGGGACAAGGGGCGGGAACAAAGGCAAACAGTGTTTACTTTCGTTTCCTGTTGCAGCACCTCGGGCCTCAGAAAATGGCTTGGCGGGCCACATGTTGGAAAAGCCTGGGCTAAGGCATCCAGAAGCATGAGTATGAGCCATGTTTCAGGGTGGTGTCAAAGGTAGCTCAGCTATAAATGGGAACCTAAGCATTTGTGCTGAGGAGTTGAAGGCAGCCAGGTGTTAGCTACAGCCCCTTGCATTCCACACAGGCTTCAGAAAGTGGCATGTTTTACCAGTTGTAATGGAATGGACCACTAGATTCAAATAGACTTTCTACCTTTCTTTGGTAATGATCCACCCTTTTTTTTCTCAGTTTGTTTTTTAGAGACTTTGTATTCTTTTGTTTCATGCAAGAACTTTGTTGAAATGATTCCCAGTAATTTAAAGCAAACTAAAGACTGTTTTAGGCTTGTTAGCCAAAGAACTTGTGAGTGGCTGTCCAACAACCAGTCAGAGTCCTGTGTCTCAGCAGGTGCCTGTATATGTGTGGGAACACTGCTCCAACCTACTCTAATTACAGCACGTCAGAGCAGACTCAGTGAATCAAGTCTGCTGGAATGGGCTGATCAATGCACTCCACCAGCCTCTACATCTCGTGTACTTAGCATCCCCATGCTTCAAAATGATGGCGACCTGTGGGGGAGCTTTAACTAAAGCTCATCAAACAAGCTTTAGTTAAAGCACCCTGCTGCCATTTTGAAGCAAGGGATGCTGAATACACAAGAAGTTGTGGGCATTTTAATTAGAGCAGCTCTCAGAGCCACTCTAAATAAAAAAAAATTCCCCCACCTGCTCCTGTTTTCACTGAGATCAGAATGTTCTGACTGACTTCAGCAGAATTGGATTGTAATATTTTATTTGTGTGTTATTTTTTAATCATCTTGGCAGCATAGTATAGAATGAGTTGATATTTTAGAAATAAAATTCACGCATTTCTCATCATAAAGAATTAAATGCTATGTTGTGGTGTTTACCAGTGTGTTGCTTTGTGCTTAGTAGTCATTAAATCTAGAAATAAGAGCATGAACTTCTGATGTTATTGCTACAAAACATTTAGGAAGGATGGTATATTACAACTAAAATATTTGCTTTAGCAACAAGTAGAAAATCAAATAGAGGTGTAGAACAAACTGCCTTTCTTGGGTTTTTTGTTTTTTTAATACTTCCAAGATCAGGATAGGCAAAAATGCCAGAAATATAAGAAAGTTTTAGAAGAAATATTATGCTTGAGTTTCCCTTTTATTTATCTTCATGCTAAGATCTCTTTCATCTAAAGCCCTATGGACACGTGAATACTTATGTGCAATGAATATGTATGTTAAAAAGAAAGTAATATAAAAGAATCAAATCACACAAATGTACTGTAAAGTATTTCTTAATTTCTGGGAAACATGGTACAACTTCTGAACACTTTGTATTTTTTCTTAGTTACTTGAAAAACACTCTCAAAAGTCTTTCCAAGACTTAAAAATGTGCAAAAAGTTTTCCCATGTGTCTGTTTATTTACAGGCCATTTGTACCACATATTATTTTTTCTAGTGACATATATTATTTTTTCTATTATGTTTTTGGATACCCATGTGGCCCTACTTCACTGATGATAGGATTTTGTTCAGTTTGACATTACCACAAAATGCAAGCAGTATATATCTTTCTTATTTCTAGGCTTGCGAAGTTCATATGCTAGTCAGCACAGCCAGCTTGGGCAAGAATTACGTTCAACTGTATCTCCTGAGTTGCACATCACTCCCATATATGAAGGCAGAACCTATTACAGTCCTGTGTACAGAAGTCCAAATCATGGAACAATGGAGTTACACCAGGGGTCCCAGTCTGCATTATATCGAACTGGATCAGGTAAGTGAAGAACTGAAATTTTTCATAGTTCCCTCAATTTAAGTTATGTGCCTGAAAATCTTTGAGTTACATATTGATTTACTATTTGACAGTAAGTATACTGTGCTACACTGTCAACATGCATGACTGCGCCAATATAGTGCCAATTTAAAATGATAGACTTGAAGCCATAAATCAGTGGAGGTGAAAAATAACCCCAAAAAGACTTTTGAAATAATGGCAAATAGGAATAAGAAAAGTAATCGAAAATGTTCTCTATTCTTTGCCCTCTAGAGCAAATACTCAGGGCTGTATGTTAACGCATTCATTTTGAGATAGTCAGCGTCTTTTAATTTTGATATATCACAGTCACGGATT